TTAAATTTTAACGTACGACGATTCTTCCACCTTATATTTACATACATAATACATACATACATACATAGATACATAGATACATATATTTATTAATTATTTAACGTTTAAAAAACATCTGTAAATTTTCCTTTTTTCCCTTTTTTCCCCATTTTTTTTTGCCGCACGCACACGCTGGAAAAAAAAAAACAAATGAAATTCCAGTCTCTTCTTCTTCCCTCTCCTTCTCCTCCCCCCGTTTAAAAATCTTTACATAAATACTTCCCGCCATTTTTTTTTTATTTTATTTAAAAAAAAAAAAAATTTATATATATAAGGTAGTTAGAAGCCGGAAAGTTTTTTAGTTTTTTTTTTTTTCCGTAGTTTCCCTTCACCTCTCCAGACGTCCTCCTCATTCAGCCTATAATAAGAATACCATTTAACAGATCAATAGAGAACTGCAGCGCCGGATTTAGTCAGATTGCGACATTATCAAGAGGTTTCACTTTAAAAAAATTTTTTTTTTTTTTTTTCGCAATTTTCCTTATATATTTTTCATTTTTTCATTTTATTTTATCAACATTATTAATTACTATAATAGCAATAATAATAATCATTATTTTTAAACAATTTTCTTTAAAAAAAACCCAATCATTTCCGGTTTTGTTATTAAAAAACCAACAACGATTTTGTATTAAAAGGAAAAAGGTTATATGTTTCGTTTTTTATTTTATTTTCCGCCGCGAATTATTTTATTTATTTATTTATTAACTTTGATAATAAATAAATAAATAAAAACGTCGTCGTCGTTGTTAATAATAATAATAATAATTTTACGCACGTATTTTGCCACCGTTTTTTATATAATAATATTTTATCGTAAGATTTTTTTTTTATGAGGAGAATGCGTATAAATAAATAATTTTTTTTATATTTTTATTAATCATATTTTCCAATAGAGAGAGAGAGGGGGGGGGAAGTAAGAAGAAGAGGGAAGAAAAAAGTTTTCTTTCGGTTTTGTCTTTTGCCCTTTTTTTTTTTTTTTTTTGTAAAGTCTCACAGGTAAAGTTACCTTGGTAACGTTTACACGAAGCCATTTTTAAAAATGATAAATGTCAAATGTTTGTTTCCGGTTGTTTTGTTGAAAAATAAAAACGATAATAATAATGATAATAATTTTATTTATGCACGCGTTTACTTCTTTTTCACGAGAGTCTCGAGTAAAACAAAAAATAATGATAATAATAATAATGATGCCGAATAGAAATCGGATGACGTATTAAAAAAAAAATTATATATATATTTATTATTTATTCGTTGAAAAAAGGGGAGAGGAAGGGTGAGGAGGAGGGGAAAGGAGAAGAAAAAAAATTAAACCGTGATGATGTTAAATAATAACGAGAAATATAATCGTCTGCTAATTTAACAATGTCTCAAATTCACAATCGAAAAATAAACTTTAAAAAAATAAAAGAAAATAAAAGAAAAAAAAGATAAAAAAAGATTTAAAAAAAAATTTGAAACAAAATCAATAATAAAAAGATATTTTTTATTTTATTTTATTTTCTACTCGAGAGAAAATCTCAATTGTAAACAAACAGACGAAACAAAAAAAAGAGAGAGGGGAGAGAGAGAGAGGGGGACAGAGAGATTTTCTTGCCGCAGCAAAAAAAAAAAAAGAAAAGCTCAAAGAGATTTTTCATCAATCAAATAAATTATTATTATTAATATTATTATTATTATTATTATTAAAGTATCTAATTCCAAACGGCGTTTTATAAACAAAAAAAAATTATTAATTATTGTTTACTCATTTATTATTATTATTATCATCATCATTCAAAACGTGAGAGTTTGTCGACGAATCGTGTGTCGATTTCGTGCGTGTCACATCGTGTAATATATTTCGTAATGATGTATCAAAAATTTTTCCATTCAAGGTTTCGATCGGTTATTTTGTCATTTCCGGTTAAGGCATTTCCCATTTCCATTACTTCCTCTTTCGAGAAAAAATAAATAAATAAAAACCTTGAGAATGTGATTCTTTTTTTTTTTCCTCCTTTGACCAAAACGCATACATTTCCTTTCCCTTCCCTTCCCTTCTCTCTTCCCCTTCTTCCCCCCCACGGAAATTTGTTTTATTAATCGTACGTGAAAATGCTTACGTTTCGGTTGTTGTTGTTATTGTTGTTGTGTTATTACGTAGGATTTTTCCAGTTGCGTTTGTTATCTGATTGATTCGTTTGTTTGTTTTTTGTAATGAATGAAACGATTAATGGAAAATAATTCGAGAAAGGTTATTATAATAGTTTATATTTGTAAAAAAGGAAAAAAGGAAAAAAAGGAAATGAGTCTTTTTTCTTTCAGATTTTAATCGTCACGGTTATAAACAATATTTTTTAATAAAAAAAAAAAAAAAAAAAAAAAACAATTTCGAATCGAAAACCCATCGTTAATTTATATAAATATAAAATTTTATTAATTTGGCAACAATGGAAAAAAAAGGAAGGAAGATGAAGGAGTATACGTTTAATATATGTGTATAAAAGTCCAATGAAAAAACGTTAATTTTGGAAAAGTTCCATGCATAATTTTCAAACGTTAAGAAGTAAGAGGGGTAGGGGGCGGTGAAGGGGGGGAAGGAAGGCTGGAAGGAAAAGAGGGGAATGGAAAATAAAAAACAATTTGGATATTAGAAATAAATTTTTTTTTTTTGCTTGCTTGCTTCCTCGCTTCCTTTTCTTTCCAGGAATCGAAATTTTTTCTTTTTTTAAAGTTTAAAAAAATTTTTTTTTTTCTCCGTAATTATTAACGATAATAAATAAGTAAATAAATAAATAAATTTGAGTTATTCTAGAACATTCCACACACGTGTAATTATTATTCCGAAAGAAAGAAAAAAAAAATTTTTTTTATATTTTGTTTCTTCCTTCCTTCCTTCCTGTCTTTCATCCTTCCCACCCTTTTTCCCTCTTCCGTCCGTCTCTCTCCGATAACGAATTCGATCCAGAAAAAAAACGGGAATTTTATGTTTTTCTCTCTCTCTCTCTTTTCATTTTCATTTTAACTTTTTTTTTTTTGTTTTTCCTTCTACTCCTTTTTCCACCGTCAAAAAACAAAACAAAAAAAAAAAACTATGCACACGCAATCTAATTTCTATAATAATAATAATAATTGTTTTTTTTATATTACTTTTTTTTTTTTTTATTTAAATTATTATTCGAAATAATAATAATGATGATGATAATAATAATTGCAGTTCCGAAATTAAATACGAAATAACTTTTTTTTCTTTTTTTTTTTTCGCCCGAACGTATAATTTCGTCGTTTTCACTTTTTTTTTTTTTTTTAAATTTTAAATTTTTTTTTGGAATAAAGAAAATTTATTACTTTCGATTTTAAGTTTCATACTCTAATACCCTCTTCTACACAAGTTTAAAATTATTACTCATTGATAATATTACGGTAATAAAATAAAAAATTGATCGAGTTTTTATTATTATTATTGTATCATCGCCATTTTATTTTTATTATTATTCGTTTCTCTCGCATTTATTTATTTATTTTCGATTTTTAAAAACTTTAATTATTTTAATTATTATTATTATTATTATTAAATATTTTTACGGTTGGAAAATGACGGTTTTAATAATAATAATAATAATAATAATAATAATCATTAAACAAAATAATTATGTTTAATTTAATGAAAACAAAAAAAAAGAAAAAAAGTTATTTTGTTTCGTTGTAAACTTTGAGAGACAAAATATTAATTATAATAAAAAAATTTTTTTTTTATATTATTCGTTTTTTAAGAAATTTATTATTATTATTATTAGAGTTGAAAAAATTTAACGTTATTTTAAAAATAATAATAATAATAATAGGAATGAAAACAACTGCGTTATGATAAAGGAGAAGGTTAAGGGGGGTCAAAAACGAAAACAATTTTTTTTTGTGTTTTATTTAAGAACCAGGATTTTTTATTCTTCCCGATTCTGGATACGCCTCTTTCCTCCTTCCTCCTCCCCGGAAATGTTTTTGTCCATTTTTTTTGGAGATGTAAAATTGTTCCAATCGAATGGATGAGATGAAAACGGGAAGAGTTACGAGAGTTGTGGTGGTGGTGGGGTTTAGATTATTGAAGAATTTAGTCTCGCTCATATTCAGGCATTCCTTAGGGATCAGACTAAAAAAACAAACAATAATAATGATGATGATGATTATGTTAATTTTTTGCGTGACAATGTTTCTTTTTTTTTTAATTGGTCGAATCATTCAAAAGAATGGAAATAAAAAAGAAAATTCTAGAATTAATTTTTTTGAATAAAAAAAAAAAAAAAAAAAGGATTTTACATAAATATTGAAATTAATAGGACGGAAGTAAAAGATTTATTATGTCCCACGATCGTAGAGATAAAAACGAATTTTTCATTTATTTCCTTTATATTCGATTGTTTAAAATAAATAAATAAATTTTCTTTTTTTTTTTTATCAAGAAAAGAAGGGGTTTTTCTTTTCTTTCCAACGGTTAATAAAAAAAAGAAGATTTTCTTATTCTTCTCTCTCTCCCTCCCTTTCTCTCTCTCTCATGGTTACACACATAAATTTAAGTAAAGCGTACGAAAGGGATAAATAAAAAAAAAAAAAAAAAAAAAAAGAAGAAGGATAAGAAAAAAGAAATTTTGTGAAGTGTTTTAAACGAGAGACGAATTTTCTTTTTTTTTTCTTTTTTCTTTTTTCTTCCCCCTTTCCCCCTCATCATCTTCGTCGTGTTTGTTGTTCTATTTAAATACGCAAACATACGATCAAGTCAGTCACCGCCATGTTTTTTTTTTTGCATTTTATGTTGGCATAGAATTCGGTTTAAACGGTTAAAAGAAAATTTTTTTTTTTTCCTAATGTCAAATAATTGAAAACGTCATCGTTTTTTTTTTCAATTTCTTTAAATTTTTATTATTATTAATAATTTTTAAATTGTTAGTTGGAAAATAATAAAAACACGTGGAAGAAGACAAATAGAAATGAGCGTTTTTAATAGGACAACGGCGATGTAGAAAATGAAAAAAAAAAAATTTCAATCTCAACAGGAGGATCGAATACAAATTGACTTTTAAAAAAAAAAAAAGTTTATAAGTGTCTTTTCCCCCCCCTCCCCTCCCCTTTCCCCCACCACCAACTTTCATCTCGTCGCTTTTATCTCTCTCACTCTCTCTGGCACGTATATTTTTCATCGTCTATCTTTTTTTTTCTCTCACCTATTTTTAGATATTGATCCTATTTGAAATAAATAATTGAATGTGGCGGTTTTTTTTTTTTTTTTATTGTGCGTGGGCGGATTTTTTATTTAAGTTTTTCCGCTTTTTTTTTTATTCAATTTGTAATTATTTATTTGCGTATCATCTTCCCACTCCCTGTCCCTCCCCTTAATAATGATGATAATAATTATTGTTATTCAACGAACGTTTTTTTAGGAATTAAAACGAGATGATGATGATTATGGAGACATAAATGAGGATATTTACATTGTTATCATATTATTTTAATTTTTTTTTTTCTTATCAATTATCAACGAGATGAAAAACGGATTCGAATGGATATTTACACGCGCCCCCGCCTCCCACACCCACCCCCACGAAATGAAATTCTTAGAAGAAATTTTAAATTTTCGCAGTTCTGCGAATTTTTTTTTTTTTTTTTATTAAAAAATTTTTATTTATAAATTTATTTATTTATTTATTTATTTTATTTATTAACAGGTCGCTGCCAAAACTCAGCAGCCAAGACGAGGATGGACCGACCCCCCATGCATTCACTGGAGTTGTTCACTTTGAACCAATTCCGCACGATCACGATTTTTGTGAAAGGGTTGTTATTAATGTAAGTAATAGTAATATTAAATATCGCCAAACCTACTTTTTTTTGTGGTTGTTGTTGTTGTTGTGTAAAGTCGTTAAAAACAAACAGAAACAACAGCAACAACAACGCGATATCAGATACGTGTGTGTGTGTGTGTGCTCGAGTACGTTTTCCTTCCTTCTGGAAAATTCGTACATTTTTCACCCCGATAAGATCATTATCAATTAAAAAGAATTAAGTGAAAAACGGAAATTGAATCTTGTTCTCCGATACAAAGTCGACAGCAACATCCAGACAGCGCCACCATTTTGTATCTCTTTCGTTTAGATTAAATTCTATTGATTGATTGATTGATTGATTCGAAATCGAAACTCTTAATTATAACGTTCAAATAAGTAGTTGCATCGAGAATGCATGCGCGTGTACATAATCTCTAACAAAAATATTTGAAGGAGTGTGCACACTCACGCACGCAGGTACGCAGGTACGCATTGTGTAAATTGGGGGGATATAAAAATTTTTCGAAAAATTAATTGATTTACGATGTTGTTAAAACCTTTTGTTACAAATTTATTTACGTAAAAACAAAATCTCTGTGTGTGTGCGTGTGTGTATACGCTCAAAGGTAAATTATACAGATAATTAGACGTGAATAATCAATGAAATTTATTCTATTTCCACGTTAAATAAAATTAACTTTTGAACTTTTACTTGAATTGATCTTGAACGTAAATTGAGATTTGTTTAACAAAATTCTAATTCGATATATTTATAACATTGAAAAAATTTCATATTTTATTTATTAACAAAAAAAAAAAAGAACGAACACGTTTGACGTGTAAATAACCAACCGATTCAAAATGGCGAAATAGCAGAAGACACGAAGAATAAAATGGCGACCACGAGTGATTCGTTATGTTGAAGTAATCGCGAGAAAAAGAAAATTTTTTTGTTTCTTTTCGGTTTTTTTTTTTTTAGTTGTATTGAACCTTCATTTTTTTGGTTGTTGTTGTTTTGTTTGTTGTTGTCTGTGAGAATTTTCTAGAAATTCAATTAAAAAAGATTTTCATTAAAAAAAAAAAAGAAAAAAAAATCGGAGGAGTAAATAAATTCTTTCGAAAATAATTTCGGGTATCGTTTTTATTTATTTTTTTTTCCAGGGGGGGAGAGGGAGCCTTTTTATCACGTTCCTTCCCCCCCTCATTCTCGCAAAAAAAAAAATTATTTACATTCATACATATTTTTACATATATATATATATATACACGAATATACATTAATTTTGAAATTAAATGTTATTAAAAAAAAAAAAAAATTAAAAATTTCCTCTTTGAAAAAAAAAAAAAAAAAAAAAAATGGTTTTTAATTTCGATGACCCAACTGGCAAAGGAACAAACCAAACGCAAAAAACGAACGTACGAAATTTTTTTTTTTTTTTTTTTTTTTCGTAATATTATTTTTAACTTTTTTTCTAATTTTTCAATTTTTTTTTTTTTTTTTAAATTTGCGGATTACTACGTTTAACCGTTTATTTGAAATAAAAAATTATTATTATTATTATTATTACTAATTTTTATTTTATTAAAATTCTAAAACGGTTTTTTTTTTTTTTTTAAAAAAAAAATGGTGTTTTCTTGTTACACGTTTATTTATACGACTTATATACGAAATGTATTTGCTTATATGAGTCTACGTGTTTAAAATTTTTCTTTTTTTTTTCTCTCTCTCCCCCTCTCTTTCTTTCTCTCTCACACACGCACACACAGAGAGAGAAAAGTTAAACCGAATGAATCGGGAAAAGTAAAAATTAATTGTTTGAACGTGTAACTAAGTACCTGTGCGATAAATTAATTGGTAGCGAACGTGACGGTTGAAGAAAAAAGAAAAAAAAAGATGTCGGAATCTATTCGCGTAACTGTGCGTATACATGCAACCAAAAAAAAAATGGTGGATGGTTGGATAGATGGATGGATAAACGAGAAGGAAAATGAAAAAAAAAAATCGTTATTATTATTATTATTATTATTATTAAATTATGACGTCAATTTAAATTTCGCTCGTAATTTAATTTGCGCCATTGATCAGCAACGTTTTCCAACCATATTTTTTAATTTTTTTTTCCCTCTCTCTCTCTCTCTCTACCTCTCTCTCTATCTCTCTCTCTCTTTCTCTTCGTTTTTTTTTTTTTTTTTTTTTAAAAAAACATTTTTCATTTTTTCATTTTTTTTTTTTTTCCAGGTGAGTGGTTTAAGGTTTGAAACGCAATTAAGAACGTTAAATCAATTTCCGGACACGCTCCTGGGTGATCCTGCAAGGCGGATACGTTATTTTGATCCACTTCGGAACGAATATTTTTTTGATCGGAACCGTCCAAGTTTCGACGCCATTTTATATTATTATCAAAGTGGCGGAAGACTGAGGAGACCGGTCAACGTCCCATTAGATGTTTTCTCCGAAGAAATCAAATTTTACGAATTAGGCGAACTGGCAACAAATAAATTCAGGTGAGAGGAAAACCCCCCCCCAAAAACAAAAAAAAAACCAAAAGGGAAAATGTTCGACTGGTGCGTCCTTTCCTTCCACCTCCTCCCTGTGAAGGAAAAGTGTTTGTTTGTTTGTTTGGTAATGAAAACCATCGTTTTTTTCTTTTTCTTTTTCCCTCAACAGGAAAGATTTGTATACCAATGAAACTGACAGATGAAATCAAAAATAATCTTGTTCAATTCAAAAATTGAGAAAAAAGAAAAGAAAAGAAAAGAAAAATAAGAAAGATAAATGATAATTCAAAACAGTAAAATTTGTGACAGATTTCATATTTATTATTCATTTTAAAAAGAAAAGACACGTAGGGGAAAAGAGCGTGGGGGAGGAGATAGAAACAACTAGAAAAAAATTTTCAAGGGGGGTAGGGAGGAAAGAATCGATTAGAGGGAGGAAGAATGAAAAAAGGTAGATGGATGATGATGATGGTGTGTAATAATTTGACATTAAGTTTTTTTCAAAAGGCATTTTCCATCGAACTAATCATTACGCATTTAACGCGGTTCGTTTTTAAAAAACAGAAAAATTCGCTATAAAATGCCTTTTTGTTTTGAAAATAAGTAAAACTCGTCCATTTTTTTTTTAGTACGATTCTTTCTAATAATAATAATCCAACGTGATTTTTAAATTACTCTTATTGTTTATTTTGTAAAAAAAAAAACTGCATTTTTGTGTGCCAGATTTTTGGTTGGATTCCTAAAAAAAAAAAGGAAAAAAGGAAAGAAAAATAAAGGAAAAAAGGAAAAAAAAAGCCTGACACTCGATTATTTACAAGACTGCGAGTGTAATCTTGGGCGTAAGCTGGTTCGGCGATCAATACCGCCGCCGCTCTCACGTTTTAAAAATTTTCCCCCAACAAAATATACTCTCGCACTATATATTTAACATCCGCGTTATTTTCTTCTTAAGTTTTCTTTTAAATTTTTTATTATTTGATATTAGAATTCATATTAAATAAAATGATAACGGTTATCTTTTTACATTTCTACGATTAGAAAAGCTTTTCATGGCTCAATTCAAGCTTTTCAGATGAGGATTCCACCATTGAAGGAAGTTGTTGTTGTTGTTGTTGTTACTGCACCGCATTGGGTCGTTAGAATCATTATGATGATGATGATGATGATGATAGTGAGGGTACGTGCGAAAATACTTTATGTTTGGGGGGGGAGAGAGAGAGAAAGAAAAAGAAATCGAAATGGCATAGATGCCAAATTTAATTTTTCAACGAAAATTCTTTTCTCGATTATGAACGTCACACATGGGTACGACAAAACAAAAGAAAAATCATTACACTTTAAGAAGGCGTTAGTTGAAGAAAAGGAAAAAATTAAAAGGAAAAAACAAATGAATGCGAACGGGGAAAAGTATTTTCACAGTCTCGTTGACATTTAAACCTTTAATTGGTTACTTAAATAAAATTTACTGGTTCCAAGTTCACACGAGGCCAACTGTTGTATTAAAGTTTAATTAGTCACAACTGGAAAAATTTAAGAGGCCAGTCAGTCGTACATTTTCTTCTGCTTTCTTTTTTCTTTCTTTTTCTTTTTCTCTTTTTTTTGGCAGCGAATTAAATCATTGATCAAATGTTTAAACGTAAGAGAGTAGTTTTTAATATGAATGAAACCTGCTGTTCTTTCACACACAAAAAAAAGAGAAGAGACAGACAAACAAACATTTTTTTTTTTTTTTTTGGAAAATTAAAAAGTAATAAAAAAGTAAAAAAAAACTAATCGTGATAATTGATTATAATAATAATAATAATATTAAGGATTCATATCACGTGTCATAATCATTTCGATTTGTCTGTATTTATTTATTTATGCACGAAATAATAATAATAATAATAATTGGGGATATGGAAAATGGTAATTTTTTATCAGGTTCCTTCCGTCTCGTAAGCGTTTATTGATTTCTAACAAAAATTTGTTGTCATGTCTATGACGTCAATCTCGTCATATGGAAATAAGAATATTTTTATATTTATTGAAAGAATGTGATTGGTTAATGATAGAATGACGTCAAATATATTCTCGAATTTGATTGGATGCTATCACGTTTTACGATTTCTCTATCTTTTAAGTGCGTGGTCACTTTTTTTTTTTTTGTTGTTTTTCGTATGAGTGCGTGCGTGCGTGCGTGGATTTTTTTTTTTTTAACAATCATGGAAAATTTTAAACTTGACATTTTGTTGTTTTTTCAGGGAGGATGAAGGATTTATCAAGGAAGAAGAGAAACCGTTACCTTCTCACGAATTCCAGAGAAAAGTTTGGCTTCTCTTCGAGTATCCGGAGTCATCGCAAGCAGCGAGAGTCGTTGCCATCATCTCCGTCTTTGTGATCCTTCTTTCCATTGTTATTTTTTGCCTGGAGACTCTACCAGAGTTCAAGCACTACAATGTGTTCAATACGACGACCAACGGTACAAAAATAGAAGAGGATGAGGTGCCGGAAATAACGGACCCATTCTTTCTAATAGAAACTATATGTATTATATGGTTCACATTTGAACTCTCGGTGCGCTTCCTGGCTTGTCCGAACAAACTAAATTTCTTCCGTGACGTTATGAACATCATTGACATAATTGCTATCATTCCGTATTTCATCACATTGGCCACGGTGATGGCGGAGGAAGAGGATAAACTCAAGCTGCCCAAAGCCCCCGTCAGTCCGCAAGATAAAAGCACAAATCAGGCCATGTCCTTAGCTATACTCAGAGTAATTAGGTTAGTGAGAGTGTTTCGAATATTCAAGTTGTCGCGGCACTCCAAAGGATTGCAAATCCTTGGACGAACATTAAAGGCCTCCATGAGAGAATTAGGATTGCTCATATTTTTCTTGTTTATAGGTAAGTTTTGTGCACGACGATTTGTGCCTTCTTCTTCCCCCCCCCCTTTTTTTTCTTCAATTTTTACCCTTTTTCTACCCATTTTTTCTCTCCCACCCTTTCTCTATCTCTCTCTCTCTCTCTGTTTTCCATCCGTATATACATCACGAAACGCTTAATTGTTCGACGTAAATTTTACGTGTAATCCATTTTAATATATACCCGTTTTATATAAAAAAAAAAAAAAATTAAAAAGGATTACACGTAATTTATTTCTTTGCTAATGCCTCTACAAACGTTCCTCCTTTTTTTTTTTTTTTATCAAAACCTTATTTTAATTTAAAATAAGTTCGTTTATAAATATATATATATAAAAAAAAGTGCGCGTCAGTGTTTCTCGTCTTTTTCAATTTTTTTTTTTTTTTTTTTGGTATAAAATAATTGGTAAAAAAAAGTAAAAAAAAAAAAAAGTGAAGAGTGTAATAAAAAAAAAGAAAAGAAAAATGTGTGCCAATACCGCGAAAGGATTACGTTCATCGTTTTCATCTGCTTTAGAATTATTAAAAATAATAATGATAATAACAAACAAATATGGCCGAATGGGAAAAATGTCGGATTTTTATTTATATATACATATTTTTTTTTCTTTACTTTTATCATATATATTTATTTAGTTTTTTTTTTAATAATCGCAGCAAGCATTTAAAAATAGAAAAGAAAAAAAATGCGCGAATGATAACGAAATAAAAAAAAAAAAATTAAAATTATTATTTTCTTACGTTGACGACGACGACGACGACGACGACTTCCGTGTGCGTGCGTGTGTGCGTGCGTGTGCGTGTGTTTTTTTTTAAAAAAAAAAAAGATTGCATGCCATTTATTAATTAATTATTCACTCTGTTATAATGATTTATTTATGCACACCGTAAAAAAAAAAAAAAAAAAATCATTCACTTTACCGTAAATGTTTATTATTATTATTATTATTATTATTATTATTATTATTATTATTATTATTATTATTCTTTTCATCTGTGAATGAATGTCCGTAGTCCGATCTGATTGTTACAGAGTCGCATTTCATAATTTTAAAAAATCATTTTCCGCGATAAAAGGTGTTTCTTAGTTAAAAACTATGGCAGTAGCGACGTGTGAATGCTTACGTCATTACTTTAAGTGACTCGACGATCCGACCAATCAGAGACGTCCGCGCGCCTGAAATTTTATACAATGGCGATGATTTGTTTCGATTTTGACGTTTTTCATTATCATTAATAACGAAATAGAACGATTATGTGACGTAGAAAAAAAAATCAGGGCCGTAGTAAGGAGAGGGGAGAGGAGAGGAAATTTTATTAAAAATAAAAATACAGGCAGGCAGGCAGGCATCGATTAAAATAAAATAAAATAAAAAAATTTTATATTTATAGCCGTTCGAATAAGTTTATTTTCGTATTAAAAAAAAAAACAAAAAGTGAATTTATAAAAGGTGAGAGGTCATGTAGTATTTTAAAAACTATAAAAATAATTTTTTTAATATTATTATTATTATTATTATTATTTTCGCTATAAAGTCGTAAAAATTTATTTACGTTGCGTAGTCTCTCATTGATTTGATGACGACATTTGTAAAATTAAAAACTTTTTTTTTTTTTTTTTTTTTTTTTTTTTTAAATTTAATTTAATTTTTTTTTTCTGTGCGGATTTATTTATTTTCCGATGAACAATAATTAAATTTATTAGGCGTTAAAAAAAAAAAAAAATTTCCATCGGTTTCTAGAAAAAAAAAAGAAAAGAAAAAGAAAATTCAGGTTTTATTTTATTCGATAACTGTTTTTTTTTTTTTTTTAAAAAAAGGAAACGTTAAATTATTATTATTATTATTATTATTATTTGTTTAGTTCTTCGTCGTATAATCGTAGTATTCTAATGCCACTTTCGATACGATTTGTCCCCTCCCCTTCCCCTCTCCCGACGTTTGTTAAAAACAAACAAATAAACAATCATCGTCATTTGTCTTTTTATACGCACATTACATATATATATTTTATCCGTTTAATTGTAAACAAACAAACTTGACGTGGCAACAATGTTTGTATTTGTTTGTTTGTGTGTCTGTGTGCGCGTGCGCGTATGCGATGAGTTATTTCCGGTCGTGTTGTAACAAATTCGTAAAAAAAAAACGTCGACATGGAAAAAACGGACGATTATCGATAGTGTGTATCGTTTTCAATTTTTCAAAGGTCATAAATCCTTTTAAAAGAAACCTTTTTTTTTTTTTTTTTTTTTTTTTTTTTTATCAATCTCACTTATGTTCTTGATTAAGATGAAAACTTAATTTAACTTCTTTCCGAAATAAGAGAGTAAAAAAAAAAAAGATTGTGTCACAGCATCACAGCATCATCTCATTCGTTTTTTCTATTATTAAATCTGTAACTACCATCAACGCCATCGCCACCGCCACCATTTTCCATTTTATTTTCTTTTTTTTTCTCTCTGTTTCTCTTTTTTTTTAAATTACCGCCCTTTTAATGAATTTCTTTTCTCGCTCGTTCACCAATCAAACCCGTTATTATTATTATTATTTTTTTTCTCATTTTCGATTGTTATAGACTATATGTTGTTTGTTAACGACTATCGTGGTGTGATTTAAGCACAATTACCGAACTATGTAACAAACGGGAGACTGACGTCACGAAAATAAAAAAAAAAAATTTTTTTTTTAAATAAAAATGTCGTCGAATCGATATCGATTTTCATTGATTGCATGCCGCCATTACCACCACTACCACCACCACCAACACCAACACCACATTTGTAGTTTTTTTTTTTTTTTTGTAAAATTTAAATCGTCGATGATGATTAGATAGCATTCTGTAGTGATAAGGTAGACTAACAACTACAAATATATGGTTTCGTTACGAAATAATAGTTTTGCAAATTCTAAGAGAAAAAATAAGGAAGGAGCAATACAAACGACAAACAACAACAACAACAAACAACAGCAACAATGTGAAAATTGTTATCATGTAGAATTTTTTATAGTACAAAAACAAACAAAAAATTATAAAAAAATTTGCATGTATAAAAATAGAAAGTTAAAAAATTTTTTTTTGTAATAATAGTTATGACGTCACTATATAGTTATAGAGATTATGTTTGATAAAGGTAGAAACTATATAGAACGACTACAGAACGCTATAAATAACATCGACGTGTATATGTACAAAACATACCATCACAACCACCACCACCATCCAATTAATCATCCAAAAAAAAAAAATAAAGAAAAGTTACATGGTGCATGTATTTATTATTATTATTATTATTCTGTCGTGGTGATTCGATGTATTATATACAAATAAATTGGCACGGAAAGACACTGAAATTTATTCTAGGTGTTATACTGTTCTCATCGGCGGTGTACTTCGCAGAAGCTGGTTCCGATCAGTCCTTCTTCAAGTCTATTCCGGACGCCTTCTGGTGGGCCGTCGTGACGATGACGACCGTGGGCTATGGTGACATGAGGTAACATTCTTGTAACTTGTTACAGGTGTCGTTCTCTTCTCCAGTGCTGTCTACTTTGCCGAAGCGGGCTCGGAGAGCTCCTTCTTCAAGTCGATACCCGACGCGTTCTGGTGGGCCGTAGTCACTATGACTACAGTGGGCTACGGTGATATGACGTACGATGTACTCATTTTCATTTTTTTCATCTGTTTTTTTTTTTTTCTTTTTTTTTTCTTTTCTTTTTTTTCTTTTTTTTTCTTTTCTTTTTTCTTTTTTTTTTTTTTCTTTTCTTTTTTTTTGATTTTTCTTTTCAATTATTGCCAACATAAGAAAAATCATTTGTTACTAACGCCTCTAATCGAAATGTGGAAGAAAAAATATTATTAATAATAATTATAATAATTTCATGGGATTAACACGTTTGTAGTGACGCCATATTTAAGTAAAGTTTACATTATTCTCGTTTTAAAATTTAGTAAAAAAAATTTTTTTTTCATTTTTATTAATTGGAATTAAATTTTAAAATTGACGTCATATATATATAATACGTCATTTGTGACGTCATTAATATTTTCTCGCGGTTTTTTTTCGTTTGGACGATTTTAAATTTAAATAATAAAATTTCGTTTAGGGGGATTTTTTTGTTTATTTTTTTTTTTACAAAATTTTTTAAGGAGAAGAGAGAGATGGGGGGAGGAAATCAGTTCGAAAGGAAAGGGGATTTTGATAAGAAAAAATCCACATTTCAAAATAGTAAAATAATAATAATAATAAGTCATTGAATTTTTTCTTAATTATTTATAATTTCAATTTTGTTTTGTTTTTTTTGTTTTCATTTTGTTTTTGTTTTCTTTTTCTTTTTTTTTTTTTTTGTTTAATTTTTTTAAAATTATTAAAGTAGTTTTCATATAGAGTACATGCAGCTGAAAATAATAATAATGATAATGATGATGATAATTAAAAAAAAAAAATTAGAAAATTCTTTGTTCTTTAAAAAAACAAAAAAAAATTTTCCACCTTTTTTTTTCTTTTTTTCTATTTTTCTATTTTTCTTTCTTTATTTATTTTTATTTATTTATTTATTAGGGAAACTTTCGGGGCCCCCCGCCTATTGTACCCTTGTTAGAAAATTTTTCTTTTTTCTTTTGTTTTTTTTTTGTTTTTCGAGACACTAGAGAAAGAGCGGAACCAAAAAAAACGTCATTTTCGTAGCGAATTAAAAAAAAAAAAAAAGAAATTTACGTTTTGCAGGTCAATCGAAAACCGGAAATAGAAAAAGGAAAAAAGAAAGAAAGAAAACGTTCATCGATTGAGTTGCAAAATGTTTCAAACAAACATGCTCAATTTGCTTGTGTGTGAAAAAAAATAATAATAATGATAATAATGAAATCCTTTTTTCTTTTTTTTTTATGAGACTTCGTGTAAAAAATAATTTTTTTTTTTTTTTGTTTTTTCCTTTTGCTGCGTTAAATGAAAATTATATATGTGTGTGCTACGTGTATATATGCATACCTTTGAAATGCATCCTTTGAATGTGAATTTAATATACCTTTTTTATATATTTTATCATTTGATGATAAAACAACAAAAAAATTTTTTTTGTTTTTTTGATTGTTTTGGAAAAATTTTCAAATTTTTTTTTTTGTAATTTTTTCCTTTTTTGTCAAAGGAATGTTTTTATTTTTTCTTCTTCTTCTTGTTCTGAACATTTCGTGTTATTTGTTTTTGAATAAGGCGTTATTTTAAAAAGTACCCATCATTAAAAGTATTTTCGATGAATACCAACCCGATCTTTGTTTTATTTGCTCCCCAGAAAAAAAAAAAAAAAACATTTTAAATGTTCTTCCCCCTCCCCTCCAACTTTAATTTTTCTGCCCACGATTTCATTATTTAAAACTATAAATAAATAAAAAATTGTTGTTTGTTTTTGTTTTTTTTTTATTGCGTTAAAATCTTCTGCTTGATGAATTTTTCGCTCTTTGATGTTTTTTCTTTCTTTTTTTCTTTCATTTTTCTTCTTCTTTTTCTTCTCTCCTCCGTTTTTGTCTATTTTTATTATTATTATTGCGTTTGTTTAATTGTGCATTTATTTATTATTATTATTAATTTTTTAATTAATTTATTTATTTAAATATAATAAATAAAAATGAAAAACAAACAAAGAATTTTCTTTTTACATTAGAAAAATTTGTTATGCAAAGTATATAAAATGAATCGAAAAAAAATTTTTTCTTTCTTTTAATTATTATTATTAATAAATAAATAAAACGATATCGTAACGTTGCGATCACGCATTTATTTATTTATTTATTTATTAAATAGAAATAAAAATTGTTTGCACGATTTTTAATATTCTATGCCATGCATGCCTTTTTCTGTTTGTTGCTTGTTTAAAAAAAAAAAAAAAAAAAAAAATTAATATCGTAAACAAACGGCTTGTCGATACTCAAAAAAAAAAAAAAAAACAAACGAGATGTTTATTTCCCTTCCCACTTTTTCCCTCCTCTCCCTACCTCCCTCCCCCTTCAGGTTTCCGATTAGGTTTTAGGAACCGCCTTTAAAACAATGTTACCAACCCAACCTCCCTTCTCATTAATAATTTAAAAAATTTTATTTTTTTTTTAATCACATATCACGAGGACAGAGTGATAAGAACAAAACATTTTCGACAAGCCGTTTTTTTTACGTATATAATAATAATGATAATACTATTAAAAAAAAGCCCGCGAAAAATTTTTTAAAATAAATAAATATAAAAAATTTTGCAATATTTGAGCATGTTTTTTTTTTTTTTTTGTTGCAACAACACACGAGCTTGTCTAATAAAAAAAAAAAAAAATGAAAAGGATTTCTTTTTTAATGAAAATCGTTTAGTTTAACATTCATTATCTCCTGCCACGTTTAAAAAAAAAAAAATTAATATAAAAATAAACGTATCATACATATTATGTGTATTTTATTTGCTAATACATTACATATATATATATTAGATGAGATATGCTTTCTTTTTTTTTTATGAAAAAAATGATGGATTAAATAATAATAATAATTAAAAATTTTACAGGCCAGTTGGAGTTTGGGGAAAAATTGTCGGTTCCCTTTGCGCCATTGCCGGTGTTCTTACCATTGCGCTTCCCGTGCCTGTTATTGTCTCCAATTTCAACTACTTTTATCATAGGGAGACGGATCAGGAGGAGATGCAATCGCAAAATTTTAATCACGTCACTAGTTGTCCGTATCTTCCCGGTACTTTAGGTAATTTTCTTTTTCTCTATCTCTCTCTCTCTCTCTCTCTTTTTTTTTTTAAATTGTAGAAAGAAAAATTTGGCGCCACGACGAGACTACGTATGATTTTTTATAATTGCGTAATGTCGTAGGTTACATAAAAAAATTGTGAATTTATTTTTATTTATTTATTTTTTTTCCGGCATAAGGTCAACATCTGAAAAAGAGCTCATTATCTGAATCTTCGTCTGATATGATGGAACTTGATGAAGATATACTTCTGACAAGTGACGTCACAAGTAAGACGAAATTGAACTGCAATCCGCGCCACAATAATAACTTGAATGTAATGAGTATTGAGACTGATGTCTGACTACTGGGTACGTATTATAAATATCGTCTGCTTTAATTCATAATTTTTTTTTAATAGTCGATCACGATTAATTAATCGATAATAATAATAGTAATTAGGGAAGAACGAAAAATATAAATAAACAATTCTATTATAAAGAAGTGGGGGGCAACGATGGTTCTTAAATTCTTTTTCTTTTTTTTTAGGGTGGGGAGAGGGGTATGGAAGGGTACATAATACATAAAATTTATTTTTAATATGTCTGATAGAAGAAAAGAAAAGAAAAGAAATCTAATAAAAAATCTAAGACTGATTTGCAATTTTTTCTTTCTTTCTCCATCCATAGCATATCAGTAACCGTTTTCTCTCTCGGCTTTATTGATCTTGAAACTTTCTCTTTCCTTTTTTTCTTTTCCTTTCTCTCTTTTTTTTTTTTTTACCTTTTTCCGTTGAATTTTTTTTTTTTTTTAAAAAAAACGTCGTCATCACTCTTTAAAAGAAAATTCTTTTTTTATTTTTTTTTATTTTTGTCCACTCTGTTTTTTTTTATAGGGGCAGAATGGAGAGAGAGGAAGCAGGGTAAGGAAGAGGGAAAGGGTTTAAAATTGAAATAATCGAACGAAATAAAAAAAAAAAAAAAATGGAAGCGCTCGGATTTTATTTTATTTTTTTAAATTTAATTTACTAATTTTTTTTTTTTGGTTTTTCAGCGAGCTTGGCCCTGGTGGCAGCCTGCACGTGGAGCTAAAGCCACTGCAGCAATAACTTCACGCTACAGCGCCTATTCATAGTACATACATATTTATATATATAATCGGCCTCAAGTCTCAAAATTTTTTTACTTGTCCAAGATGGAACATAAGAACCAGAAGATGAAACCGAGAGAGAAAGGAAGAGGAAGAGAGAAAAAGGAAGAAAGAAAGAAAAAGAAGACAGCCAATTTTTAAACTTATTTAATAATTTATTATTATTATTATTATTATTATTATTATTATTATTATTTATTTCACACGACTACGCGAAATATTTTTATTATTATTATTATTAACACAACCATTTATTTATTATTTGTGGGCAAAAAAATTTATTTATTTATTTATTTTATTTATTGATATAAGGGCGAGTACGAATGATAATAGACACAAACATGAATAGTATAACAACCGATTCGTTTGTTTGTTTGTTGAAAAACGACGGGAAAATCGGAAAACCAACAACAATAAAAATAATAATAATACTCTCGGTAGTGTTTTGATACGATGACACTTTGTAAAAAGAAAAAAAAAACGGACAATTAGATTGCGCGTAAATAATAAGGTCGTTTTTTAGCCCCCTCCCTCTCCCTCCCTCCCTCCCTACCAACCATTTTCCTTTTAAGCAATACGTGTATTTAAGTATACATAACATTATATATATATATATATATACAAAAACATATTTCATCACGATGTTTTTGTTTTAGTTTTTTTTTTTTTTTTTTGCTACAAAAAAGAATGAAAGAAAGAAAAAAACGTTTGTTGTTGTTGTTGTTGTTGTTGTTTATACCTAATAATATGGATATAATGATGATAAGGATTCGGGTGTGAAAAATATGGCTCAAAGGCACAAAAATATTATTATCATTTAAGTAAAAAAAAAAAAAAAAACTAAAAATTAAAAACTAAAAAAACTAAAAAAAAAAAAGTAAAAAAATTAAATATATTATTATTATTATTATTATTATTATTATTATTTAATAAAATTAATTTAAAAAATTAAGAAAAACGTCCGGTTCCAGGCATTCGATTAAATGAAACGTTAAGGGCCGACTGATAAGAAAAAATGAATGAATGTTGATAACGATAATGTACGAATGTATATATAAATTCCTCCTTCCAAATACGTGCGTGATAAACAAATAAATTATAATAATAATAATAATAATAATATATATATATATATTTACATTTATATATATATTTAAAATAAGAAGTAAATAATAATAATAATTAATAATAATAATAATAAAATTTGTTGTTTTAAAAAATTAATAGTTTTAAAAAATGATTTTTTTTTTTTGCGTTTTCGTTTTTTCGTTTTTTTGTTTTTTTTTTTAAATTTTTGTAAAAATTAAAAATCCTTTAAATAATAATAATAATAATAACGGTAATTTTTAATAATAATAATAATAATGATAAAGTTTAAACATAAAAGTTAATGTAAGAGGAGGACAATAGTAGAATTGTCAAACCTCATGTAAGTTAAGCACTGTTTTAAGTGCATCAACACAAGTGAAAAAAAAAAAAATCAGGCTGTGTGAATGGTTAAACGTAAATTTTAATTTTTAATTTGAATTTTTTTTTAATTTTTTTTTTTTTTG